TCACTATTCTGTAAACTTTACCCGAGATTTATAAGTTCATTTCAAAATCTATGCTTATTTCTGAAATTGAAACTCAACAACCTAATACATTTGTTTGGACATTGTCTACAACAAGGCAGAGGTTATTCGAACAATTTGATCACATACATTAACTTGTCACAATGCAGTTTATATCAATGATGAAAATAGGGTGGGGTGGGATAAAATAAATAAATTAAGACAATACAAGATATGGAGAATATTTATGGGGGATGATAGGAGGAACGATACATTTTCACACCTCCTCCCTTGGTATTAAAATGAGATAAAGATTATCAAGGTAGGTTTAAGGTAAGGACAAACTGTTTTTGAATACATGAAAGGGGTTTGAACTTTTGTATAGTTAAGGCTTCGATAAATCTAAGTATACGGTTTTGATATCTCTTATACAATAGTCTAAAGGCTGTTTTGGGTTTAATCCTTTGGTGTGTTTCTATAATGTGTTTACCTATCAACGATGATGATGTCTTTTTGCCCTCTGCATTTATCGAATTATTTGAATGTGAACGCGAAGATGCGAAAAGTCTTCTAGATCGACTTAACACTGTACAAAGCGACATTATTTTATCGTATGAAGTAGAAAATAATAAGCAGTTTCCTTTTCTTGATGTGCTATTGACTAAAATGGACGATGGATCAATGATCAATGTGTAGTAAAACGTAAGTGGATTGGACAGTACCTTAACTTTCATAGATTCCGTCTAATACAGTACAAACAAGGTTAAGTAAAATGCTATTCAAAAGAATCCAACACATCTGCACAACAGATACATCAGAGGAAGAATTCAAACTTTTTACAGAGATTAGTATAATTGTTTTTATATGATACCGTCGTTGATTGGACCGAATTGATCGGTCTCTATTAGCATATGGGCTCCTGTGCGGATGCCACGATCCATCATTAACATAATTAGAACGCTGGCAATATCGAGGCATCCGCACAAGAGCCGATATGCTAATAGAGACCGATCAATTTGGTCCAATCAACGACGGTATCATATGAAAACAATTATGCTAAGAACTGTACCCGTCGCACAAGAAGTGGCTATCGTGGCTTGGTGGTGTAGTGGACAACGTGCTGGTGTTCGAAGTGATCGCTCTCGAGTCCGATTCCCGGTGGGGACAGCACTCACTGGGAAACAGGTACATCCAACTGACGAGTCCCAAATAAAGACGAAATGCGCACCCTGGATTCCACTGCTAGCCACGATCTATTATTAACATTTTTACAGTGACACTCATAAAAAACGCATATCTTGTCAAGTTCATCAGTCGTTATAAAAACGTTTCAACGGTTCGAAGTAAACAGTATTCTGTCCAAAAGAAGAGTGTTTACATCACGGTAATCAAACAGTATGATCTTAAAACGAAGACTTAATTCAGTTATTAAAAAGACATACAATGCAGCCAAGCTCAATATTATCAAGAAAATGAAGTCTATGCTTCCCTATATAAATGATTACGTCACATCCTACTGTGTATACTAATTTACACATATGTGCAGTGACAGATACATTGGGAAGAAGAGTAATCGAAGTACGAAATCGATGGGTGATGGAGCATATCCTTAAATGGTTAGAAAAACAATTACATTCAAATAACCCGATAAATAGTGAGGGGCAGACAGACTTCATCGTCGACAGGTAAACAAATTATAGAAACAAGTTACTGGATTCACCCCAAAACAACCTTTGGATCATTGCTTAGGAGCCATGAAGACCGTATACTCATCTTCATTGAAGCCTTAACTATAAGAAAGTTGTTATATCTTCCGTCGCCAACTGTTATATATTCCGAACGGATATAGTACGCACGCTTAACTGACAGTTAACTTCGTACGCAAGAGCCACCGACTGCAACCCGTGACGAATAGAGAGGAGATCGAAGCTGGATGATGGGAGAGTTTATTCGTCCGAGAATATAATAATAAATCAGTCCAAAAATACGTGAATGTGTAAACCTTGTCCGCAATTTGAGACATTGCCATAGTAAGAGTAACGGTTAACCAACTAGCGAATTACATTACAAATGAACTACTAGTCATACCGTAAAATGGCATGAGAACACCGAGTTAGAAATGTTCAGATCGATAACAATGTTTTATACAAAAATGGGGCATCACAACAAAAATTCAAACCCCCTTCATGTATTCGAAAACAGTTTTTCCTTACCTTAAACCTATCTTGATAATGTTTATCTCATTTTAATGCTAAGGGAAATGTGAAAACTGTATTATTCCTCCTTATTATCTATCCCCCAATAATATTCTCCAAATCTTGTAATATCTTTATTTATTTTACCCTACTCTATTGTATTTTCATCCTTTATAATAAACTGCCATGTGACAAATTAATGTGTGTGATCCCATTGTTTGAAATGTATTGCGCGAATACAACATACACACATCTCAGATAACCTCCGTCTTAATATTCACGTTATACAAATACATTAGAGACTAATGTTTTCAAAATCATTATCCATAAGCTACGCTTTATTAGAGTTCGTATAATATTTCGGTCGGCTTTAAAGGACACCTTAACAACTGATGGAACAACCAATCACTTTTCTATATTCTATGAAAAATTGTCTTTCCACACAAAATGCATAAACCTGATTGATTATTTTGTCAGTTGTTAGGGTAGCTATTAAAGTCGCTGAATATCAATAGATAGTTGCCAAGGCCACTATCGGTACCCAGCATGTTACCATGTTAGCTAAATGTGGCAGTCTAGATTTTAAAAAATATTGTAATAAATGAAGAGATTAGTGTTATTGCTTGTAATCCACCGTCGTTGATTGGACCGAATTGATCAGTCTCTGTTGGTATATGGGCTCCTATGCGGATGCCTCGACTATTGCCTGTGGCTTGGTGGTGAATTGGATAACACTCTCGCGTTTGAAGCGACCGCTCCCGAGTCCGAGTCCCGGTGGGAACAACAGGACTCACTAGGAGGCAGGTACATCCAGCTGACGAATCCCAAATAAGGCGAAATGCGCATCCTAGATTCCATTGCTAGCCACTGCCCGTCATTACTATACATAAATGAAGAAATTCATTAAAAAAATCATGCTCTAAGTTCTTATTTCATATCATGTGAGTGGAATAATGAACATTCACTACAGTCACTCTACTATAGTGCTACATTTTGGATACAGGCAGTGAATCATATGAGTAGTGTGAAGCTGTGACTCACTAGTCTAAGTTCTCCACTTCCAATCATTGACTCATAAGTTGGAATCCTACTCGACCTACTGTGGATCTGGACAGCCAAGTAGTAGTAGGATTGACAAGAAAACAAATGTGACACATTGATCACTAACAAGAAAATGGATTTGATCGCTGTGAGTGCGGTTAGTTAGCCTTTTATATGAGCATTACTATGAGAACAACCTTATAATAGTATTTATAACTAAGAAGACGATTCTTTTCGACGAAATCGTTCTCGCGAATATGTAGTGAAAAAGACAGAAAATTCCAGCGTAATTTCCAGTTAAAGGTCAATACATAGTAATGATTGATAGTGGCTAGTAGTGGAATCCAGGATGCGCATTTCCTTCTATTGGGGACCCGTCAGTTGGATGTACCTGCCTCCTAGTGAGTGATGTTCTTCCTACTGGGATTCGAACTCAGGGCCGATCGTTTCAAACGCCACCGAGCCACAATGGCCACTTCATGTTTGACGGGTATAATTTTTTTAAGTTTTATTGCTTGTATTATGCCGTCGTTGATTGGACCGAATTGATCGGTCTCTATCGACATATGGGCTCCTGCGCGGATGCTTCGATATTGCCTGTGTTTTTAATTATATAGTAATGAATCGAAGACGGTATAATACAAGCAGTAGCACTAAAAAAACTATACCCGTTGCACAAGAAGTGGCTATAATGGCTCGGTGGTCTAGTGAGTAACGCTGTGGTGTTTGAAGCAATCGCTCCCAAGTCCGAATCTCTGTAAGAACAGGATCATTCATTGGGAGCCAGGTACATCCAACTGATGAGTCCCAAATAGGGTGAAATGAGCATCCTGGATTCCACTGCTAGCCACTATCCATCATTACTATATAATTAAAAACAGGAAATACCGAGGATCCGCACAGGAGTCTATATGCCATTAGAGAGCGGTTATTTGGGTCCATTCAACGACGGTGTAATACATGTAATAACATTTAAAGGTCAATGTAAATTGCATTACAAAGGGAGGTTGCGTAATAGGTGAAAAATAAAAAAATAGTTACTTCATGGAGGAATTATCTAGAGTGGTTAATCTTCTACGATGGATACAGTGAAGAAAGAGGTTGTGCATACTTCTTTTGAACGCTCAATGATAGTTTGAAACTCTACATTGCTAATGCTTCTGTTATACCCCTTTCTAGTGGCTTGGTCGCACTTTATGTATAATTTTGAAGGAATTATCAAAAGGAGCCAAATATCCTGAGTTTACAGAGCTAAGGACGCATTTCTGTTCTCCTCTTGTCACCCAAGTCGGATAGTGTTCGTGAGCGCGTTGCATAAGCTGGCGTTATGGTGCAACCGATGTACTCAGCTCCACGGGAGCATCATCAGTATTAGGTCACTTAGTCAAGTGAAGAGTAAACAAGAAAGATTTCGTAATGTAGTGAATCACTGTATCTTCTCTTAGGACATTGATAGAACGTGAATATTTGTTTGATCAGCACACCAAAACAGTGTAGTACCACTGCTATCTGTATTTAATAAGTTAACGTGAATGAGTGAACCAACGAAACTCATTCAGCAACCTTTTGCACATTTGCGCAGTAGGATGTGAGCCACATAAGTTGTATCAGGGCTAATCATACCTCAATATGTGGGGCGGGATTCGAACTCTTGACTTACTTGATGAAAATCACTTACGTAAACTAATCAGCCACTTAAAAAGCTCTTTTCCATCATTACGACCCTTCAATTTTATCAACGTTTGCTTTCTTTATTTACTTGTTTAGCCGGAGAAGTTGCTTGAAACATTACGGAAAATAAAACAACTCGATGATATATGCGAATTACACGGGAAATTCGATATTGGCCCACTTGGATTTGGTACACCGATAGTGTCTACTGTTACCTCACTGAAAAGCAAAGAAGAAAGTCGAACACTGACAGCTCAGGTAAATTATTACTCCATCTTAGTTTCTTAACTATTATTGCAGTAGGAATGTTTATGTTGCTACCCATCAGGCTATCTATACCTTTGGTGTAGATTGAATAGGAATGACTGCCTAACGGAAGGGACTCAGCCACCTTGTGTGCATTTTTGTGCAGTAGGCAATGAGGGTTAGTAATACTACCTGGCTGCCTAAATCGTGGTAGGTGGGGTGGGGTTCGAACCCGAAACCCATTAGTTGAAGGGGCATCTCTCTGTAAACCAATGAACTATACTAATCTCAGTGCATGGAAGGAGAGAATGCTGACTGAGAAGTGTCAGAGGAAACAGGAAAAGCAACCTATCTCCAAGTCTGAATTGTATACAACGTTATGATTCGAAACCATTTGCCTATCCCCTCTAATAAGTCACGAAAAAGAGTAAAACATCTCATCCGGTTTTTTCGGTTTCTAATGCATTGGTACTTTATGTCAGTTTTCGAAAAGTGTTTTTTAACCTAACTACCTCCCTGCTTAAATGTGGAACGAAATTCCTACGGAGAATAACACAACAACATATGGGACTTAGCTGTGAAATTCGACTGTGACTTTCTTGGACAATTGTAGCTTTCAGAACTTAAGTTGAAATGCTCATGACATTGTTGAATAGCATTAAGAAGGGGAAGAAGAAATGTGAAATCAAGATAGTTCTCATCATGGAACGGTATTAGTATTAATATTATTGTGGAAAACCACGTCAACATTCAGTTATCGGATCGGAACTGAGTGGTTCACATTTTTCTACATCTATGAATCTGCGATATAACACCATCAGCGAGTATTTTTCTTCACATCTGACTTTGTTGACGCCTCAGGTCTCTGCTTCTCATCGGAACTTCGAGAAATCTCATCTCTAAGGATGTCTGTCACCTATGACTATTGGACGGTAATTTTGCAAACCTCTAGATGGAATTAATGTTTGGTACTTGTTATCTCCTGTCGCTATACATGACTTAATTGGTAGATTTCTATTGACAGAGGCCATCTTCCAACAGAATTCAAACAATTTGACCCTCTATAACAACGGAAAACTATAGGTATCAATGAACAACAACTGAAATCCTTTGCACAAGAGGTGGGTCGTGTGCCCCAGTAGATAACGCTTTAGTGTTTAAATCGATGGGTATTAGGGGTGCAGGTAAATCCAATTGAGCTGACGAAACGCGCATTCTGAATTCCACTGCAAGTTGGTTAGTTCTGGTATTATGTTGACAAAAACATCAGTAATGACTTTCTATTATGGAATGAGATATTAAATTATCTCGATAAGTGATCTATTATATTGTTTTGTCGATCCGGCGTGTGATTGGTTGTTTCTTTTCATGGTTCTTTTGTCGATCTTTAATATTTTCTTATTGGTCATATCTCTGTCTAACTTAAAGTATGTCATCAGGGTTAGTATCCCCTGATTTATATTCTATATTGGCACCATAATTCCCCTTGAAACTATGATTCATTTGTTTAAGCACTCGACTTTCCACGAGTGGGTGACAAGTTCAAACTTAGCCATGTCTAGCGAAGCATAAGCAGTTAGGTAGTATCATTATCCCGTCAAACAACAGATTTGCCTATTTCGACGACGACTTTAGATAAGGGAGGAAAGATGAAGAAAGAGAAAAATGCAAATTAGTTTTGACAGATATCATTCAAGTGGAAGCGTTATTAACCAATTTCTTAAATCAAAGTAGACAGAGAATAGATTTTGAAAATATGACGATTTATGAAACACTGAAGTGTAATCTCATACATAAGCTGTAATCTTTCATAAATATAACTTGAAACAAATATTCAACAATAGTTCAAAATGCATCTGATACTTAAGAACCAGAAAAAGTATTACATGGAGGAAGGTTTCTCTTTAAAAGCTCTGAAGTAATTAGTCCCGTTTTATGAATTTGGATATTATGAATAAAAGTCTTAGTTCCTATAAAAAGTCCAATGAATTTGGGCTGCCACACTTACAAACGCACAAAAAGTGAACGTTCAAGTCTGATAGAACTTATCAACCTTTGTCTGACAACATACTTCCACTTCACTGGCAAGATATTCAAACAGATGAAAAGAAATCCAATAAGATCACCGATATCCGGATTAATTGTAGAACCAATGATTCAGAGACTGGAGGTCATCATCCTACCTGTGATCAAACCAAAAATTTAGATTCGCTATGTAGACGTAACTTTTGTCATCATTAAAAATGATATGGAAAACACTCAAAGTTTGATCAACAACGTTTCAAATAACATCAAATTCACAATGGAGAAGGAGTCAAGCAACCAACTACCATTCCTCGATGTTTTAGTCAGTAGGACGAATACCGAAAAGCTTGAAACCCAAGTGTACAAAAAGTCAACATACACTGATCATATACTCAACTACAGAAGCAACAACTCAACAAAGCACAAAATTAGTTGCGTGTAGACTCAGTTCAGAAGAGCGAGAACACACTGCAGTACAACAACTTCACGAAGAAACGAAGAAAATTACTTGATGTCCATCATCAAGAAGAACGGCTACCCACGGAACTTTATCACAAGATACTTATCTCGTACATCATCAACTATAAAGTCATCGACAGAAATCAACAAACACATCATCCTACCATAATGCACAAAGAATGTGTCAGAAATCACGACAAGATTACTGAGACCACTTGGTGGGATTGGTATGGCCACTCATAAACCGAAACATTCCCTCTAAACACTATCATGCAGACCAAAGGATACAACAACCAAAGAAGATTAACCGAATATCATTTACAAAATCAACTACAATAACTGTAGTCAACACTACATTGGACAAACTGGTCTCCCACCTTCACCTTTGTCACTTACATCAACACCAATTGGCTATTAAACGTCACACACGACATTTCATTACTCATTTCAATCCATGTGATAATAACAACTATGAACATGAATTGAATTCCGACAATGTAGAAATGTTAGGTGGAGAGATAAATCGCAAGGAATATCAGAGAATTCCTTGAAGTTTGTCATTCAGGTCAGTCAGTCAGTCAGTCAGTCAGTCAGTCAGTCAGTCAGTCAGTCAGTCAGTCAGTCAGTCAGTCAGTCAGTCAGTCAGTCAGTCAGTCAGTCAGTCAGTCAGTCAGCAATCAATAAGTGTATAGACATAGACCCAATCTACCAACCAATAACAAAAATGATAAGCAGCAGAAAGGTGAGAGGTCAAGCAGAAGAACAGCCAACAAGAAAATCTATGCAGTCAGTCAATGACACAAGAATCAAAGGAAACAACCAATCACAAACCAGTTTGTCAGAGCAGGCTACTGAATCACTCATGGAAAGATATTGACAGCTCACTTCGTATTGAAGTTTGTGCTGTGGATGATGTCATCTAGTAAGACGATGAAAGTTTCACGATTAAACAACCCATCTTAGAGAACACAATAGTGCTATGAGTAAAGTTACTTGTTTATGAGAGATAGCTTTGCACAGTAGTGACATGCATCAGCATGCAATTCATTTGCTATTAGAAAGACTTAAGTATTGTGCAAAACCATACTCGTTCGTTTAACGTAGGAAGAAGAAAAAGATAACCACGTACCAAGTGCATGGATACTCTTCTTTCAAGCCGTTTTGATAAGGATGCCTCAGTAAGGCAAGCGATTTACACCAAACTGAATTGGACAGGATAGTATTCAGTATTAGTTGGTTAGAAGCAAGCGGCGGGAAACTGCTGTGGATGTAGATTTTTCGCGCGTTGGGCTTTCGTCAGCAAGGGTTATCTGCAACCTCTATAGAACTGATGTTCCGCCTGAGATTTGAACCTGTTTCATCCAGTGCACTGCAGTCAGAGACGTTACCACTGAACAATCACAGCCGAATTTTTTTCCCTGCACCTGAATAACACTTTAGCGTTTGAAGCGATGAAGACAGTTCGAGTCCTTGTGGGGACAGCATCACTCACTGGGGAGCATGTACATCCAGCTGATGACAGACTCGTCTCGGATTCCATTCCACTCTGTATATCAATTAGGGGGGGGGGGGGTGGGGGCTTACAAGTATCAATAAAAAACAACTGTTGACCAGTTTATTGAACTTAGAAGGTTGCATTATTATCGGTGAAAGTCTAGTGTCATTGAAATTTTTAAGTATTGATGCATGTTTATAGTTTTAAATACTATTGTGAAGGTATAACAGCTGCAATGACGACTGGATGTCTCATTTGGGACTCAGGTGGATGTATATGCATCTTCATAAGGGATGGATATTCCCTTTGTGACCAACAGAGACCGTTCAATATATAATCATCAACACAAAATTACAGATATCAGTAAACAATAAGTAACATTCGTTGCTTAAGAAGTGCCTCTCGTCCTAGTGGACAGCGTTCCGGTGTTTGGTACCCCGATGTTCAGTTCAAGTTTCACTGACGAATCTCAGATAGGACGTGACATACTTTCTGGATTTCATTAGTAACCACCGTCAAGCAAAGAAATGTCATTATTCCTTAAAGATTCAGTCTAGAACAAGCATAAATCCACCTGTTAAACACACCGCAATGTTTAAGAATTTCCAGACGCTTTTGAAATCTCCATCTTAACGCAACGAAATAACACCCCTAGTGGTCGTTTTCTTCTATATTAGCTGGTTGTCCGTGATTCGATAGAGGAATCGAAAGAGTACCTTGTCTCATTTTCTGTGTTTCTGTTTATTTTTGCTATGACCGGTAGTGCGGCAAACAAACCAACTCTAAATGCTAATTACAACAACAATACTACTGACATGCAAATACAATAAGAGAAAACGGATCGTTGACACAGAGCTTTTTACTATCTCATCAAAAGTCAAAAACAGTTGAGAGCAATGCTGAATACATACATTTTTAAACGACCTTGACAACACTAAATCCACAATTAAGTGGAAAGATTTAACAACTAATGAGGGTTCAGCCTTGAGAACAGTGGGAAAACGAAAGTGATGTTATTAGTCTATCAAATTTG